AGTGCATGACATTATTAATACCTTAAATGTACTGTAGGTTTCTTTTTGAAAGCCTACAGTACATGTAAATGTCTATAATTCACTTTTCCCAGATGAATTCACTAAAGTTCTGCTGGTCTCCTAAGAAGTGGCAGAAGTGACATCATTAAAGCCCCATTTAGTCTGTGGATGGTGGATGTGAAGATCCGGCAGCCATCTGCACTGCAGTCAGAGTTTTTATGACTTCCTTTAGTGTCTCATCCTCCCTCTCTTCACAGACCAGCCCTGATGATTTTAACCAGCTCTGCTGAGTGTCAGGCCACACACATCCCACTTTAAACGGCGCTCCAGGTCTCTTGTAAATCTGCCAGATCTGCTGCGGTCTCCGTCTCCTGCAGGTCTTTACAGCGGGAACAATACCTGATTTAAAGGCTGGGGAGTTTACTGTTCCTGCTACAGCTATTTTTGCGTGTGGCATCTGTTGTCTGCAAAGCTAAAGGTAGACAAATGCATTGAAGGGGTGTTAAAGAGAAACTGGTTCATTTGGAAGGAAAAAAGGAGAGGCTCACTGAACAGGTGGTGGAAACACATACGCCATGAATTATGAAAGAAAGGAAAGCGCTTCAAAAGATTGTTTGCTTTAAAGTTTTCAGCCTCCATTCAGAGTGAAAAGACAATGTAAATGCAAGGAATGAGTTATATAATAGCACAACAACACAAAGAACCTGCAGGGTTAAATTTCAAAAGTTAAAGTTTCAGAACTAAATTAATTAATTAAATATAATCACACACACACACACACACACAATTAAATAAATTCAAATTAAGTTAAATAAATATATATTTATTATTTATATTTATTTACTTAATTTCATTTATGTGTGTGTTTATCATTATATATTTATTATAAATATATTGTTTCTGTATAAAAGATATAATTAATTGTAATAATTACTTAAAACATTGTTTACAAATGTATAACAATTTAATTATATATATATATATATATATATATATATATATATATATATATATATATATATTATATATATATATTTACATAATTAAATAAAATTTTATCCTAACCCCTACCCCTCACAGCTGTGTGTGTGTGCCATTATATATTTATCATAAATATTTTGTTCCTATATAAGAAAGATAATTAATTATACTAATTATAACAATTACCATTACAGGTTGCTGTGGTTAAAAGTACCTGCTAAATTTATAAATGTAAATTGGTGTATATCCCAAAAAGAATTCGATGGATTTGGACGGAAACATCAAATTGTCACGAAAATAATGTCACAATTAATAAAGTCTTTATGCAAAGAAGAATGCATTTGGGGTGAAATATGAACCTTATATGTTCTTGGCAAGCAATATTTATCCATATTATGGCTTTGACGTCATATACAGTACAACTAGCACACCATAACCTCAAAAAATTCCAGTGAGGTTCAGAAACTGAGATCCATCTTTATTGCAGAAGTAAAACTATGTACCCTAAGAAAGTTTGTTCAGTGGTGGAACTCAAACATGAATTTAGTGTCTTTTATAGGCTGTTGTAAATGTTGGTAAGATAAGGAACTGTGTGGAGAACTGTAGGAATTTCAGTCCTTCTAAAGAAATCAATGAGACATCGCAGTGGAATCCACATATATGTTCTGAAAATAAAACTTCTAAATCTAAGATTATCAACTATAGCCACTTTTCCACCAAAATTACCTGGAACACACCGAGTATACCGGCCCAAATTCTCTAGTTCCTGGGGAAAGTATAGACAGCGATGAGATTGAATTGCTTCTGAAATTCGAAAAAGTTTCACATGGCTCTAGAGTTTCAGAAGAGATCTTGACATCCTTAAGATGAGGTGGGATATTTCCTCTAAGACCCAATCTCGGTCAAGGGAGGGGTGTGATAAGATGTTTGTCTCTACCTGCTCATACACACATCTCTAACCTGTGTTGAGTTTGACTCACAGAAGCACATATGGACTAAACAAAAGCCAAGATCCTAAACCCACACTGTAAAAAATGACCGTGAATTTAACGGTAAAAGACTGTAAAAATGCTACAGTAAAAGCCTGTTAAATGGTTAACGGTAAATTCCCCTACTATATATGGTGAAAAACTGTATTGGACATTACATGTATTGGACATCAATTTTACGGTAGTATACCGTTTTTGGAAGTGAAAAATACCGTATAATTTACAATGAATAACCGTAAATTGACATTCCCAGAATTCCCTGCGTTACATTTAAAATTGTATGTTTTTTTGTTGAAATAACTATGTTTCTTCTTAGTTTTTTCTTATCAGTTTTGTATATTAGGGTTGTGTGTTACACCTAATGTTGTTAAATGAATGTTTATTGCATTATTTCAGTTTCATGTGTGTTACCATGATGGCATTTAGTGTTTGTGTGAATGACTCTGTGCACCTTCTATATGTGCTATTATTTAAAAGCTGCTTGTGATGGGCTTTGGTTCATCATGTGACTTTCTCATCACCACCTGCATTTGGTGGTTATCAGTGTATTACAAAGGTACAAAACAGATTTCAGTACTTCAATAGGTTGGTATATTAACATTATATCAAATTAAATTACGGTATTTAACTGTAAATTTAAGTTAAAACCGTAAAACCTAAAATGTTGCTACCGTATTTTTTACGGTAAAATTCCGGTAACCACAGCTTTTTTACAGTGCATCAATAGAGAAATTAGCTTCCAGAAACATGGTCTATATCTTCTCCCTATGGCCCTTTGACCCCTGACACCCCTGCTCTGCCGTGGGCTCCAAAACCTTTCAGTTTCAAATAAGCTCCTTTCAAGCAAAGTAAACAAGCTTTCGAAGAGCAGCTGCAGGTTTTGGATGTGAATGGCTCACTATTGATCTGGGGGAGTTTCATTTTCCATGCACAGCATTACAATCCCATTTGCCTAAGGATGGCAATGAAAGTCAGAGTAATCTGAAAAAGATTACAGAGAATAATCGGACAAAATAAATGACATCGATTTCATGCATCATTAGGGAGCCTATTGAGAGGATTTCTTCTGAGAGTGACTCTTTCGCACCGGTTAAAGTGCTCTCATCACTCATTCAGTCTGTCTTTTGTGTTCTTTCAATATAAAATGTGACAATTAAATGTAGCCTCAAATCAATTTCCAAACACAAGAGGAAAACCATTAACACATTTGTGATGTTGACGTTTTACCCGTTGATTACCTGAAGCAGGTGAACAGGTTTCTGGGTAATCTTTAACTGAGATGGATGTGGGATGTTTGCTGTTCTCTAGATTGTGGGCCAAACTGTGTATTTTTTTCTTTGGTTACACATTCCAAATGTCAAACAGCAAAGTTTGTTTCTCAAAGCAATTAGGTCAGACTTATGATTAATACTAGGTAAGAGGCCAATGACTATCATCTTGCGAAACAATATCATAATTAGTGGTTTTAATTATTATATATATACTGTATGTGTGTGTGTGTGTGTGTATACATATATATAACAATAGTGGTTTTATAATGAAAAATATCTGCGTTGAACACGAACACACACACACACACACACACACACACACACACACACACACACACAGGTTTACATTTGTGAAAAGTGGGGACTCTCCTTAGGCGTAATGGTTTTATACTGTACAGACCGTATATTCTATTGCCCTACACCAACCCTACCCCTAAACCTACCCCTTACAGGAGACTTTGTGCTATTTCAGATTTTCAATACACTCCATTCTGTGTGATTTATAAGCGTTTTGAAAAGTGGGGACATGGGGTAAAGTCCTGAAAAGTCACCTTCTCCTTGTAATACCTATGTCATACCTTTGTCATTATACAAATTTATGTCCTCATTTGTCACAAAAACGCGTACACACACTCACACACACACGTACACACACACACACACACACACAATGTCAAAATTAGTGGTTTAATTATGTGTGAACACATAATTTCATTAGGCTAATGAAAAATTAGTTTGTTCCTAATCATATATTTTTAAATCATAGATAGCGGATAATTATCTTTCATATTAATTTTATAAAACTATAAAAACGATGTTTGACAATGCATAAAAAAACCTTTAAAACAACTTAGCAATTATAAAAGTCATAATAAAGCCAAATATGAAAATAAAATCATCTTCTTTTTAAATTATGAATAGTGGATAGATAATGTACACTATAATATATATTATATTTTTTTATGGTGTTTGATAAGCCAGATTCCTTAAAACACCTTAGCAGTCATTTTAACATTTATTTATTTATATTTACACAGTTATAATAAACATTTAAAATAACTTATTAATAATTGAAATCGTTCAAAATCAATTAATTTCAAACCAAAAGACGTGTTTTAAAACGTTTTTTTTAATAAAAAAAGTAGTACGTTAACATTAAAGAATAATAGTAAAATAAAAATATTCATAATTAAAAGCATGCAATTTTAATTAAAATGACTTTACGCATCTAATAACAGAATATCTGAATTATATTGTTATTGCATTATAATAAAAAATAAACAATTACTTATCATACACTCTTAAAAATAAAGGTGCTTCAAAAGGTTCTTCAAGCGATGCCATAGAAGAACCATTTTTGGTTCCACAAAGAACCATTCAGTCAAAAGTTCTTTAAAGAACTATCTCTTTCTTACCTTTTTGTAATCTTAAGAACCTTATTTCGCCACAAAGAACCTTTTGTGAAACAGAAAGGTTCTTCAGATGTTAAAGGTTCTTTATGGAATCATTTAGACAAAAAGGTTCTTCTATGGCATCGTGAAGCACCTTTATTTTAAAGAGTGTATTTATTAAAATAATGGTAACACTTTACAACAAGTTTCCATTTGTTAACTATTGTTACGGGGCGAACGAGATGTGAGACGTGCGGATCCATCTGCAGGCTTTTATTAGACAGAGACGTGGTCATAACAGGCATGGGTCAAACAGTGGCAAACAGGTATATTGAGGGCAAGACACAAGAGTAGTCCAGTAAACGAGCATGGTCGATCTCCGGCGAACGTAATCCTGAGGGCGAGGCAAACGGGGAGTCCACAAGACGAGCTAGAGTCCAGGCGAGATCCGAAACAGCAAGGCAAAGGGTAATTCCAAAACAGGCTATAAACTTCAGACAAAACGAGATAACAGGCAAAGATCAAGACACGGGTAAACAGACTAAGAACAAGGCTATACTAGATTCACTTGGAATGGCTCCGTAAAGTAGCTCTCACTAGATGAGAGATAAACGCTAAACAAAACTCGGCGTTGAATGGTGGTGTGAGACTGATTTATATAGTGTGTGTTATTGGTAGCAGCTGTGTGTGATTGGTTTCAGATGAGCTTGTGATTAGTGCAATGGAGCATGGGAAATGTAGTCCGGGGTGATGTGTAACAGTTTGTGTAGTGCGAGAGTCAATGTAACGGAAGGGTGACCTCTGGTTACGATCGAACGGAAGCCCATGGACAGGATTCGTGACAACTATATTTAATGTATTAACTTACATTAATGAGCAATACATTGTTGTTACAGTATTAACTGTTCTTTGTTAGTCCATGTTAGCTCAGGTCCATTAAATAATATTAATATACAACTTTTGATTTTAATCATGTAACTTTAATTAACTAAGATTAATAAATGATTATTAAGTATATTTGAGTGTTAACTAATGTAGTTAACTAATGTTAGCAAATGGAACCTTATTGTAAAGTGTTACCAAAATAATGTGAAATAATTTATTAATATATGATTGTATTATAATAATTATATTATATTTAAAATGTATTTATTCATTTATATTATACAATTATTATTAAAGTAGTTGATTAATAAATCACTTATATATTTGTATTAATTAATTTAAAATCAAAAGGCAGTTTTTTTTGTTGTGTTTAGTCATTACCGAAGGCCTAATTTTACTATATCTGTCGCAGTGGATATTAACCCTCAGAGAAGATGGCAGGACCAGCTAGAGTTGGAGAACAGCAGTCTGAGGGAGCTGGTGGAGGATTTACGTTCAGCCCTCCAGAGCAGCGACGCGCGGTGTTTGGCACTGGAGGTTGCGTTACGCCGAAGAGACATGCCATTCCAAAATACTGCTGGAGGAACCCCTGAAACACAAAACTGCAAAACACAACCACAGCAATCCAAACACATGGAATGGGACTCCAGAAGAAGCACTAAAGACCTTCTACGAGAGCTGGAACTGATCCGTGCTTCACGTGATGGACAGCTGGAGGAAGCCATGAGGTTTAACCAGAGGTTAGAGGAAGAGCTGATGGTGGCTTATGGAGAGATTAGCAGGATGCAGGAGATGCTGGACAGCGTCCGGACTGAAAACACACAGATTAAGAAGAGGACTGAAGAGGTCAGAGAGTCACTGGCCGCAGGGCTGCAGGGTGTGAGGGCCTTACAAGAGCAGGCTCAACAAGCTGACCTGCTCCGAGAACAAGTCCAGAGTCTGGAGAGCCAGCTGGAGAAGTTCAGGTAGATCTTTTATTTATCTAACGCTATAATTTCAGTCACACACATGCACGACTACACTACAGTTAAAGAACTTTGGGGTCAGTGATGTTGTTTTTTTTAAGGAAATTAATACTTTTATTCATCAAGGATGCATTAAATCAATCAAAAGTGACAGTAAAGACATTTAGGTTACGAATGATTTTCAAATAATGAAATAATGAAGGGGTTTCTATTCATAACAGAATCCTGAAGAGAAATATTTCATGGTTTCCGACTTCCACAAAAAATATTAAGCAGCACAATTGATTTCAACATAAGAAACACTTCTTGAGCAGCATATTAGAATGATTTCTGAAGGATCGTGTGACACTGAAGACTGGAGTAATGATGCTGAAAATTCAGCTTTGCAACAAGGGAATAAATTACAAATTAAAATATATTCAAATATAAAACAGTTGTTTTAAATTGTAATAATATTTCACAGTATTACTGTATTTTTCATCAAATAAATGCAGCCTTGGTGAGCAGAAGAGACTTCAAAAACATAAAAAAATCTTACCATCCCCAAACTTTTCAACAGTTTTTGTGTATTTTTAAAGGGATAGTTTGTCTAAGAATGAAAATGTTGTTTTCATTTACTCATGCTCCCTTTCTTAACTGTTTTTGTCCATAAAAGAAAAGTCAGCGGGGTCCAAAACAACACTAAAACATGTTGACTTTCACTGTATGGAAAGAATAAAAAACAAAGAATTCTGTGTTCCACGAGGAAGAAATGCATTCAGGTTTGGAATGAAATCACTTTAAGAGCTTTTTTTATTAAGATGATTTTACCTAAGGTTTTATTGGTTGTCCCCTTTTCAATCTGGAATTGCAAATAAAGTTAATTACATTTATCAAAATAATACAAGAACCATTTCACTTCAGGACCTAGTCGACCATGTATACAGCCTATAGGACAGGCCGGTCCTGCTCAAAGGCGTTTTGAGACGAGAAGCCATAATCAACACAAAATCTTGCATAACTGTAAGATTTTTGCCTGCACTGATGTTTCAGTTTGTGTTAATGAGTCAAGAAGCAGCGGTTGATTATGAAACAGATTAGACTGGAGCAGCATTGCAGGGCATGTTGCAGACATGCTTGATTTTCCCTTGACAGATGGTAATGACCTGCTTTAATAACACAGGATGGCACAGTTTCCTGCAAACGGTTATTAGTCGCTTTCAAGTGTGAGTATTAAAGCAAATCATACAAAGCCCTATTACAGCATCTAACTCTAGATGTCTTATTATATCCTTTGAGGAAGGATGTAAGGTCCAGACACGTGTTTATGCAGGTATGCTGGACAATCAGACATCAAAGACGTTTGTGGTCAGTGATTTTTACAGTGCTGTCTCATTTGTGTCTATAGCATCAATGAACATAATGCAGTCAAATAATGCAAAGATCTGAAGAAAAGTCTAAAAATACAGAGAAATTAAATGTGGACTAAAAGTGTTTTCTAATCTGTTAGTATCTATATGTTAATGATCTTCAACAAACTAAGAAGGTTAAGTATGTAGAAAAAAAATATATTCTTCTGAAATTAAAAAAATAGTTTTTTTAAATTAAATTAACTTGATGCAAAATGTGTTGAGAATGTGTAATTTTAGCACCACTAGCATCGCCAAACACAATTGCAAAAAATAATTAGAGCAAAGAGAGTTTACATATTACTGAATTAAAAATAATGGTAAGAAATAAAACAGTAATAAAAATATTCAGAATTAATGTAATATAATTCTTCTAAAAGACGAATTCATATGATTTTACATTTCTAAAAACATACAATATTTAAAATATATTTTATTGTGTATATTTTTTATAATAAACACTTGATGACATGTATTTGTTAATATATATATATATATATATATATAAAATAATTTCAATTAATTGGTTACTAAATAATTCTATATTTATATGAGATCATTCAAATCAAATATAATCAAATTTGTCATTACTTAAGGTCTAATTTTACTATATAAATCACAAATTTTACTATACAAACCACTAGTGTCACCAAACACAATTGCAAAAATAATTGTAGAGTAGAGTATAACATTTTTTTTAACTAATAATAACAGTAACAAATAAACAAATAAAGGAAAATAATTAATCTTTAATAATTAATCTAATCTAATTTCAATTGAATAAAGAAGAATTTATGATTTCACGTTTCTAAAAACACACAATTTTCGAAATATATAGTATTACATTTAGTATAATAAATAAAATGTTTGTAACTTTAATATATATAATCAAAAAATAATTTATAATAATTATATAATATAATTCAATAAATTAAAAAATAAAATCAATTAATTTAAATGATTTATATATGCTCTTAATCATCTCATAGACATGCTTTAGTAATCAATTAATTTTAATTATTTAAATATATATTTAAATAATTTAAAATGATTTAGTAATCAATTATGTATATATATATATATATATTGATTATTGATATACTATATTGATTACTAAATTATTTTAAATTATATGAGATGATTCAGGCAAAAAATTGTCTAATTTTACTGTATAAATTATACAACTTAAACAGGAAATGTGTAATTTCAGCGGCACTAGCTTCAACAAACACAGCTGCAAAAATGATTTTTACACAGGTTTCTGGAACACTCCTCTGACTGCAGTTCAGTGAGCATTAGAGATTACACAAACCAAAGACTAGTGTATTAAGTATAATGAACTTATAAATGAAACTTAAAATATATATATGACATTACATGGCCAAATGACAGTGCTGTAAATCTTTAGCTCTCAGTAACCTTGCAATCAATCAAGTAGATTGCTGGCTTTCAGTAGACGCTTAGCAGATTAATATCTGTGTTAATATTGCATTATTTGCATGACAGAGCGGTGATGTAATGCCCATTCCTCACCTGGAAAAGCAGGCCGAAACCTGCCAGGTTCCTCTCTCAGAAGATCCACACGCTCTGCAGGGACAACAATCAAACTTGTTCATGCATCAGCAGCACAAGAAACGCAGCGTGCAGGACTTCCTCTTTCAGTCATGTGACATTAAACATTTTGATTCAAAATGTCTTGACTCGCCTGCACAGAAGGTTATTTCATGATATTTACAGTGCTTTATGATTTATTCTTAGGGCCCAGTGCAACTGCGCAGAGCTAAATATGAACAAAACCGAAATACTAGCTGAACCTTGTGGGTCTGGATTTTCCTCCCCCGCCAGTCATGATGATGGCAGAAGAGGTAAGAGGATCAAAAAACATCAGAAACAAATCAATTTCTCATTCAGACCATAAGAAATCACAATAGGATGTGATCTAAATGGAATACCAGCATACTGCATAGGATATGCACTTTTTCTTTTTTTAAAATGCATCATGCATTAAAAAAATGTTAAACAGTATCATGCCTAATTTTTTGTCATGTGACCTCATCAAGTTGCATGTTTAATTTTACATAATGATTGGAGGAAGATTATGGAAAATTATGGAAGTTGCATAATTTTAATTTTAAGTGCTGTGCAGAAATCAACTCAGAAATAAACATACAAATAATTTTAGAGAGTTAACATGTTTTTGAATTAATAATAATAGCAAAATAAAACATTAACAAAACTAATCATAATTAATGTAACCTGATTTTAAATATAAAAAAGTCATCTAATTAAATAATGTACATGATTTTACATTGCCAGAAACAAACAATATTTACAATGTATTATTTACAAATAAAACAAATAATAATAATAAACATAAGAAATAATTATTTAAATAAAAATAATTACTACATTTTAGATTTATTTGAGATCATTCAAAAATAAAAGTAATTTCACAATATAATTTACACAATATTTTATCAAATATATTATATAAATTTCAGTGCTAGTGCTAACCAAACACAAAAATAATTACAGAGTTTACACAGGTTTCTGTCTAAATGCTTCTTTTATATTTTTTCATCTAATTTTGTGTAAAAATTTCTTTTTTGATGGTCCAATAAAATAGTTAGTCAAATGAAAAACTGATATTACTACATAAGTTCATTCATCACACTAGAAGTGGGTGATCAAGCCGATGATACAGCTCTCCTAGCAGTTTGCCCTGCTGTATACTTCACATTTTGGCAAATCAAAGTATTCCACACATTTTGTGTACAGTATACACACTGCAAAATAGTTGCATGCATGCAGTACATTAAAGGCAGTAGTGGTCATGTGACGTCTCTGTGCAGAAGAAGACCTGCAGAGGTCAGTAGAGGGTCGGGCAGCATCCGATGAGGAAGAGGAGGAGAGGGGCATGGATGAAGGACAGTGCTGCCACCTGGAGGTGAAACGGCTGATCAACAGATTACACAGCTGTGCCAAAGGGTGAAGATATCTTACGTCTAAAACATGTTTTTCTGCATTTTGGCCACAACACAGGCATGCATTCATTTGACGTGTCCTTCTACAGGTGTCAGAAAGCTGCTATCTGTAACTGGCTTGCCTCTCAGAGCTCCGCTCACAGCAAAGAACCTAAAGCACGTGTGTGGATCTCATCTCAAGCGGATGAGAGGGGAAATGAAGCAGGAAAGGTGAGAGTTAAAGAAGAAACTATAATAATGGATAATCATATCTCTAATGAACACCTGTCTTCTGTCATATCCTGTAGATGAAGCAGAAAGAGGTAGAGAGTTTGAGAGTTTATCATTCACTGCTGGAGGAGAGACTGACTGACACGCTCACGTTACTGCTGCAGATCCCACATAAAGTGAGAATTTGATTCAAAACTAGATTTTTTTACTTTTTCTGTGTAAAAAGTGTGTTCTGAGTGATTTATTACTGAAGTCAATTATATATGACACATGATATGATATGATATATGATATGATATGATATATGATATATGATATATGATATATGATACATGATATGATATGATATGATATGATATGATATGATATATGGCTTGGGTCCCTCTTTTATCCCTTGAATTTTTTTTTCTCTACCGGAGTTTTGAAAAACAAAACAAAAAACAAACAAAATCTATATTATGTATTAAAACACTCACACACACATATATATTTATTCATAAATATTTAGCATTTTATATTTGTTCAGATTTACATTTTTGTGTTTTAACTATATAAAATAATTTTATAAAATGTTATATTAATTTTATATTTATAGTACATTATTTACTTAAAATGTATTTACATTTTAAAATAAAACATTTTATATTATAAAATTACTTCATAAAGAAAGCCTTTATTTTTTAATGCAGGGATTCAGCTGAACCCCTTTGACCAAAAATATTTTCTTGAAGTATCCACTGAGATTTTCAGTTAATATTTCAATAATTTCACACATGATAATAATAATTATAATAATGAACACATTTGCATGCTGACAGTTCTCTGATGTCGGCTAATGGTCACCTAACAAGCAGATAAACAAATAAAACATTTCCTCTTTTTCATTTTATTAGTTATTTAATTTACATTTTTTTTAAATCATTAAATTATTTTAAATATATTTAATTAATTATTGGCTTTTCATCAACTCACAAAACCACTGCAGTTTGCTTGCCATCTCCAATTTGGAAAATCCCTGATTTAATGCATTGAGGAGAATCTACTGAAGCTACTTCTTGTGCTCAGTTGAAGGCCTTAAGTCTTTTGAAAGAAATATAATATTAACATATGAACATAAATATATATTATTAGTTAAATCCCATAGTTTGTCAAATGAAATAGTTCAGTAAACACATGAACTATCACATGGATGTAATACTCATCAGCAAACATCACTGAATGTTTGTTGTAGCCTAATGAAATGCAATGTGAATGCAATGTGCAATATACAATATATACTGCCTGCACTTTCTTTTACAAACATTTGAAACAATATACAACATTTGAAACAGTAGTATGCAATGCTGATATCACATGCCCTCACTAAGTTCACATATCATTTTATGGTTAATTAGCACTTTTAATCCAGCTTGTGTGCAAGGTCTTGACTTTTCACAGTCAAATCAAATAATGAGTCAAGAAAGAGATTTAGAGAGTTTAAAATGACCTGGTTAATAAGACTTCCTGTTCATTCAGCGCTCTGGAAATGGAAGATCAAGTCATGTGCATAATCGCATTGTGTGCACATTTGCAATGTGTTTTGGTTGTTACTGCACATTTGGGCAAATGTAATGCACTGCATTCTATGCTCACAGAAAATGGAGGGACTATTGACCATTTGCATACTATATAGAAATAGTATAGTAGTGTGCGTTTCTGAATAGCCAGTGCTAAACTGCACTGCAAAAGTCCACACTGTCACCTAGCGATTAAACTCTGTAATGCACTTGTCTATCTGAAAACCTCTCACCTGGTGTTCTAACCCTTCATAGAGAGTCTCTCGCAGGATCTTGGGGAAAATACTGATTAACACACTAGATCTGTGTACTAGAAAAAGCCACGGTAAGCTTTGCTTTTCTGTCTTTTACTTACATCGTTTTCTTTCATGCAAAACTGCTGGATAACCTCCCGTCTTGTCCTTCAGACTGCACTCCGGTGGTTCAGGTGGTGGACACACTGTGCCGGCAGCTCCTCTCCAGTGACCTCCTGGATGGAGGAGAGGAGGTCAGCGTTGGGTCACGACCTTCTGTGACCTCAGGTCACCGGAACACGTCCAAACCCCTTCTGATGTCCCGCTGAGAGCTCACAGATGCCCCACTTAAGACGCGTGGGGGAAGTCGTGGCCTAATGGTTTGAGAGTCGGACTCGTAACCCAAAGGTTGCGAGTTCGAGTCTCAGGTCCGACAGGAATTGAAGTGAATGTACAGCGCTCTCTTCCACCTTCAATACCGTTGAGCAAGGCACCGAACCCTCAGCTGCTCCCCGGGCGCTGCAGCATAAATGGCTGCCCACTACTCCGGGTGTGTGTGTGCACTTTGGATGGGTTAAATGCAGAGCACTAATTCCTAGTATGGGTAACCATACTTGGCCACATGTCACGTCACTTTTTCCATCAAGGTACAAATTGGCGTGCCATTATTATTTTTTTTCTTTTTAAGGCACAAATTCTTACCAAAGTTATTGTAATAAAAATGAAAAATCGAACAAATATATTTTTCATCAATTTATAAGAAATAAATGAGTACCAGTAAAACATTTGGTGCCTGACCAGCTCCTTAATTTAAAATAAATCTGAAGCCCTTTAAATGTTTTATGAATCATTTGTTTTGAACCCATGATTTTGAGCGAATATCAAACTGCCCAAGTCACGTCATTTTAGTAAACGAGGCTTCGTTACGTCACAACTGGATGACATTTACATTTACATTTATACACCCCCAACAGGCGAACCATTATCTAGTTTTTACCTGATCTCAGATCAGTTTTATACATTCGTAGGCATTTTTAGTGAGACGTGTATAATTAAAACGAACAGTAGTATTTTCAGTTTTGGGGAAAGTTACTTTTAAAAGTAATGCATTACAATATTGCGTTACTCCCTAAAAAAAGTAACTACGTTACTTAGTTACTTTTTATGGAAAGTACTGCGTTACGTTACTTTTGAGTTACTTTTTAAATCTGGGCAGGGCTTGCTTGTTTGTTTTTAAAATAAAAAAGTTATTCTTTTACAAACATAAAAGCCCTTTCATAAGAAAAGTGAAATGAATACGCCTCAGGCTGAAGGAAATGTAAATTCACGTCTGTACAGTAGAGGGCGCCGCGCAAACAAATCGCATGAAGAATATGACACAGGAGAAGAAAGTTCAACACCATTCAGCAATAACTAAAATCAAACACAAATGTGAACACTTTGAAACAAGCAATTGGTTCAGATGACTCAAAGCTTCGAAAAGGTTTGTTTCTCCCATCACAAATAAGTATGTAGTATGTAAGTTTGGTGAAAAGGGGGGATCGCTTTACGGCAGCAACATGTGCACATGTACAACCGAAGACTTTAAATGTGCCAGACTTTTAAATAACTGACTTTCCTTGAAAGGGACTTTAATACAGCTATCCACTGTATTTATGACAGTGAATTCCACTCACTTAGCTGTAGGGGCTTTAAAGTCGGAAAAATACACAAAGTTACGTACAGTTGCTTGTATTTACAAGTTCCAAATTGTGGTAAGGGTTGCAGAAATGTCAAAAGTCATATCAAATAAATAATAAAAAAATGAAATTTTCTTATAATAGTTTGTTTGACCTCTTACATCACTTTCTCACAAAATCACTTTCTACAAAACAAAGAATTTAATTTAAAGGGGTCCTATTATGCTTTTTCACTTTTTCAACTTTAGTTAGTCTGTAATGTTGCTGTTTGAGCATAAAAAAGATCTACAAAGTTACAAAGCTCAAAGTCCACTTCAAAAGGAGATATTTTATTTAACAGAAATCACTTTTCAGAAACTACAACGAACGACTCGTTTGGACTACAACGCATATTTTCCGGGATTTGTGATGTCACAAATATCGACGAATGGGACGAGACCTGGTTGAGCTGCACTAGAGAAGGCAACGAGTGTTATCACTATGTCGGAGACACGCTAGCTTTCTCAAGTCAGACGAACTTAGAGTGGTTACAATCATCCGGGTTTAAATTGCGCTCAGATTGATTTGATTTTGAGCAATATTTACACTGAAGCTCGCAGGCGGCTATGGTAAGGGGCATGACATTTCCAAAGCAGGCGCCGAGTGCTGCCAATCACAACACACATTGGTCCAGCTAACCAATCACAGCACATTTCGTATTTCAGAAGGCAGGCCTTCATTTGATACAGGAACTATTCGAGCCGTTCATGCCAGACTGGGGGGAGAGGTGTTATAATAATCTATAATATGTGAAAAATAATGTGTTTTTCGAACAACCTAGTATGAGAGCCTGTTCTAGTACACCCCCAAAACAAAATCAAGACTGTAAAAGAGCATAATAGGACCCCTTTGAAAGTTTCTAGCCTAATTTACCCTATTTGTGAAAAGTGTTTTAAACTGATCTTCTGTAGAGAACATGTGGCCATGTTTTCTCATATCTGTCCAATCACATATTACATAAGTCTCCTGAAATCTTTCCAAGCGTTTAGCCTTGTTACGTGCAAGACATGAATAGGTGCACACATTATAAGATGCTTTAGAGTTCAGTCTCACTGTGCATATTCCTCCGCGAAGCACTTAATCTGTGTGAGAAATGTTATGCTCTCATATGACCCTCTTACAAAATGTATATTTGATAAGATAAAAAAAATAGAAAGCATTTATATGTTTGTGCATGTTCATGTGGAGGATGTGTGACTGGTATCTGATTTTTTTTCTTTGACATTTGATGCTGTTTTTTCCCATATAGTATCATACATGGAAAAAAAACACCTTAATTTTAGGCCCAAATGGAGCAAAAATATGCAATTTGGTGCAGTTGCTGATATTTCTATGGCCAAAAAGTAAGATGTTCATGTTAAAATATTACTAACAATATAAAACTTATTCTTATGTTTACTTTATAAAAGTCATTAAAGATTTTACAGCAAAAAGACACATGTACCACAACCTGCACTTTTTTGAATGATACTAAAATGCCTTTTACATGCTAAAAAAGTATGAACTATCAATCAGATGACAGAAGGCATACATGCTTTCATATTCAGATCATTTAGAGGGCTTAGAAATGTATGTATCCACTGTGATACAGAAGGCTTTACCGGGTAAGATGTGACTTCTTACTACTATACGAGTCATATTATTTAGTAGAAGTAATCATGTATTTTCTAATAGCTAGTGTATTTCTTTAGTGTTATTCCACTCCAAAGATCTGTCAGATGACCCTCAGAGTGAGTTCGTCTCTGTGTGTCTCATGCATCAGGCACATTGTGTTCAGAACCCTGCGCTGATGCGTGGATGAAACTCTCAACAACATTCAATACGAAAGAGAATTAAAAAAAAGTACTTGGCCACTAAAGTCAATTCTGTCATTTTCTAGAAAACTCTTGAAACTTCCTCCTCCATCCAGACAAGCCTGGGCATTCTACCTTGCAGGTGTTAGTCCCTGTCCACTCGGAGCTGCTCTCACGCCGAGTTATTCGTCTGGATGATTCGCTGCGTTATGAATGATAAGAATGGAGCAGTGTGTCCAGAATAAACTCTGATAATATTAAATAATGATATTTGACTTGATAATAGAGGAAACTCTATGAGTAACATGAGCAACTTCCAAATGCAAGGTCATCAGCAATGACGTCGAACTTTCACTTATCAGACATTTACCCTGAGAATCGTGAAAAAAGTCATAGTTTCAACATTGCTAATAATAAAATGTTTCTTGAGCAGTAAATCAGCATATTAGAATGATTTCTGAAGGATCATGTGACACTGAAGACTGGAGTAATGATGCTGAAAATTCCGTTTTGATCACAGGAATAAATGACAATTTTTATAATATATTCAAATAGAAAAGTTATTTTAAACTGCAATAATATTTCACAATATCTATCTATCTATCTATAACTGTTAGAAATGTGTTTTCCTTATTTACATTTTCACATTTTTCTTTATTCAACATTATTTACTTCTGCATGTGAGTGGTCAAATAATTCAAAATAATTCATCCAACTTGCAGCTCAGTTTCAATAAATGCTTTAGTAAGCAGCAGCTTTTCGCTCTAAAACCCACATTATGTTGCTTCGATTTTCATTTCAAAAGATCAGATTTTTCATTATTTAATACTCCGCATCTGTGTCAAATGGTATGAAAACAGAAAAGCACAGGGCAGTCGTACGAAATAATATAATCTTTTATTTCCAGCAATTTACAAGTACCTCTGTTAGGTCCCCTTAACAGTGTCAGACTGACGCAGCTGCAGGGCAGAAACTGATGGGGAAGAAATCAAAGAACTCCGATAACCAGTTACCATTACTAGCTGTTTTAGTCTTGCTTGAGAGGCTGGGATCTGATCCTCATGGCCAGTTTAACTCAGGGAAGGTTACGTTTGCTTGTTGGAAGTTATATACAGATTAGAGGGAATATGTGACAGATTAGACAACCCACAAGTAAATATTAATTTATTCTAAAACTCATGGGGATCTCGGTGGCTTTGCTTTGGATGACTTTACCACCGATACATCTGCCCTGGAAGAACACAACGGATGAGATGATTTGTGTACACAAATCAATAAAATACAATATGAAAATCAACTCCATTAATTAAAAAAAAAAGTCATTAAAAAAACAGATCAGAAGACATATAAACCTACGTGTCGAGCCTTGCTTGTGATTTGTTAAGGCATATTATGCTCAAGTCAACGAACCAGATCGAGTGTGAGGTTTTGCTGGATATTAGGCACCAAACCTTGATATATTTGTTAAGAAAAAAAAATTACTGATAAACGTACAGTAAACATCTCTACTGGTCCAATGCAAAGAAAAAATGCAACAAAATGAAATATAAACGTTTATAGAATAAATATATTATTTACAAATAGCTTTGTCACATCTATAGAAATAAATAAACAAAGCCTCCCGTCCCCTGAAGAAATATTCACAACTATAGAGAGCTGTCATGGTACAATGGCAGCACTGGTCAGCTGCACAGTGATATTCGTAATGTTTGAATGCATAATTGTGGTATAAACATATCTGCGTGTGCGTAAAACACATTGGAGCTGCATGCTCTCCTTGCACTTGTGGCAAAGTCTGACATTACAGTACATCTTGTGCACAGTGATCTATTGTGACATGAAATGTGCTTGCAACATATGACACTAGAACTCGCCTTAACACACTTGCACAGTAAAAAAAACAAAAAAAAACAGACATTTAAGGACAGAAAACAAAGTGTACAGTAAATATAAAGGGGTATGATTAATATATTGTGAATTTTTAATGTTATGTGCCCGGCACAATCCACTACTACTCTGCTGATGATGTGAGATGTGCGCAAATGGAGCGATGTTTCTAAACAGCCCTTTAGCAATGGCAGGCTAACATTAACATGCTGTCGATAACTGGAGGTCAGTTGCTTTACAAGGCCTGGCTAGTCATTAAAATATACATTAGTTTACTGGCAGCTACTGATTAGAGATTTTTTTATGGCCGAGAACTGAGGTACAGATTAGCTGCTAGCATCAGGTTAGCCCTTCAAGTGTTTCTGAGAGGCATTAATCTCATAAAAAACGTTCAAAATGAAACCATTTCTCTCCTCTTCCAGTATGAAAGAAGCTACATTTTAAATCAAGCATGGCTTCAAATCATTCAGAGAGCCGGTTCAACAGCACTTTTTTTTTTTTTAGCTAGCTAGCTTTTTTTAGTACTGAAAAAAACAGCATATGCTGGTTAGATATGTTTTGATGCTGGTTTGAGCTGGTCCTTTGCTGGTTTATGCTGGTCATGTGCTGGTCCTAAACTGGTCCGACCAGCATAAACCAGCAAAGGACCAGCTTAAATCAGCTCAAACCAGCATCCCAGCTTCAAAACATACCTAACCAGCATATGCTGTTTTTTTCAACAGGGGTGGTGGTAGAGGTGTAGATGCCAAAATAGCCCTTTTTTATTTTTTGCATCATTCTACAGATATTCTTCGGTCCTTTTGTAAAAAAGGCTTGAGGCAGAGCGTTTCATGTTTCTTGTCAATGAGCAGGTGCTCTTGTTTAATCTAATTGAAATCACCAATTGACCATTCGCTAAGCTTTGCATTAAAAACATTACTGAACCAACAAACTTGGACAATTTGGTGTAGGATTTACTTTGAAACTGCTAGTAAAGTTCACAAATAATTACAAAGAAATGGCAAGTAACACATTTTGAAGTCGAAAGACTGAAATAGTATTTTCTTGTCAAATGTGCTCCAGTAATCTTTGCTTTATTTTACAACTTCATTTTACAGTGAAAAATCATTTTACAGTGTAGTTTTAGACTGCCTTTTACAGATATTATGCAAAAGTATATGCATAAGTTAACTGAGCTATGAAAAGGGCATTTTCTCTTTTTAATTGTCTGTGATAAGCATTTTTGCTTCGAGTTTGCAGGATCTGCATTTTTTTCAAATCACACTAATGGGTCATTTCACAATTTGTTTAAAGGAAAACGGCAGATAAAATGCTTGGCAATGTATACTTCCTTTCAACTCGTATGAGAATAAATTCCCATTCATTTTGGACACTTTGTGAGCACATTTAACTAAAAATCATAAAAACTCCAGTTCCGTCCTATGAGGTGCTCTATAAAACTAGTCAGTGTTAGCAATAGTAACCAAGGGAGGCGGAGCTTAGCAAAGGGTCAACTGTATATATACTCTATATAATAGAATAATATATTCATTGGGATTTGGAAAGCCTTTAAGAGTGCATTGTCAAATATGATTTCTGGTTTAATAAAAAGGGTCCTGACTGCCAATTTTCGAACTCACAGCCCTTTTAAAATAACCACTTTGTTGACCATCACAACAAATACATTATCTGCCCCAGTATTTTGAGTCCATTCAAGAGATTTTGGAGATTAACAGATGTGGACTACAGCAATATTACAGGCCTTTAACTGGGTGAAACGTTTCTGTACGTAACAGAAATGTACCTACGCAAATGAGGCAAAGTCTGATATTTTATCCTTTAGGTGTCGAGCGTAAACAACCCATGAACCCTTTTCATCGCATTGCACAACTTGAGTATTTCAATGAAACAGTAAAGCACTTTGGGTTACTATCCCTCTCTGTAACCATAAGCACAGCTACTAAAGCAAATTTAGATCCCGAAAACATAGCATTGTGTGTTAAATTGGGCGATCTCTATGTATTTTACAGTACTCTACTGTACATGCACGCTTTATCATCAAAAGGTCCCCTTTGAGATTCAATCTCTACCATTAAGACCCAAGTGACTCTTTTAATCTTTAGCCTGAAATGTTATTTAGGTCACTCTGTGATGGTCCAAATATGGTTTTTGTTTTTAGTTGGCAAAGGCTGTGAGTGCCGCCCTCAAAACATATAATTTTATATCACTATTTTGTAGCACTTGCTGATGTAGCATTCGCATCTTTATCTTAATCAGTGTACTTCCTACCTGCTGATCGCCATGGCGATAATGACTGGCTCCCACCCTGAGTAGAGCACTTCCCGGGTGGAAGGTGTCCGCCGGGCGATAAGTACCCAGATGGGTGTCAGGGCGACAAAGAAGGCACAAACCATCGGGTTGGCATAGTCATTGAATTCTGTAAAGAAAAATGACATTTATTGACAGATTAAATATTTACGTATACATTTTTTAGTTTTTTTCTGGAAATTGGATGCCTTTTGAAACTTGATGGAAATATTATTCATATAATAATATATTATTCCACTTAAAAAAGGAAGATAGGAAATAATACATTATAATTCTGAAGTCATCGTAAAATAATGGTCATAAAATACAGATCTCTACTCTACTCGAGATTGAATTGTCATCAATAACATGTTTAATGCAAGACTTGTGGAATTCAACACCAATTCAGTTTCAAAACCAAAGCCGGTTGAGAAATAACAATAACACAACATCCTTTTGGGTGCAATTTTATACCCAGACTCTGGAGAAGTTGGGTAAGATGAAAGCTTGGTTGACCTACTATTTTCACTTTGGCCGTTTTACATGCTTACATCCAGACTGTCTGGTCTTTGAGGTTCGATAAGACATAAACGTGCAATCAACCTTTACCATAAATGTTTCCATATGCACACTCTCACTTCAGTACTGTTCACCAAACATCAAAACACTAAGGTGTTGCCACAAGAACGCTCAACTAACATTGCAATCTAAACTAGAATTTTGCTCCCACTTTATGTTGTTGCTTTATGTGGTCTAAAGGGAGAGACTGCAGTCTAATAGGTGCACCAAACAAACTCACAAATCAGGTGGCGTTCACAAGCCCCGACATGCCCCAACAAGCTCCACTATGCTCTAACATGACTCAGCATGGGGAAATCTGACTGAATGTATTACTCATGAGAATCAGAAGTATACAAAAACCATGATAACCCTCAGAAGAAATGTTTAACTGTTCAGTTTTCTATTTGAATACAATTGAAACTGTGATTAATTCCGGTGATGCAAAGCAGAATTTTCAGCATCATTACTCCAGTCTGCAGTGTCACATGATCCTTCAGAAGTAATTTTAATATGCTGATTTGCTGTTGTTATTTTTGAATCATCAAGCAAGTGTTGAGATGCCATTTTCTCCCTGACTGTTCCTCTGCAGAGCAAGTTTTCTGATACAGAAGGTGGCATAACCTGGCTAATTAAAGAAGATACTGACTTCTGATATCTTCAGGACATACAAACACAAGTTCACAAATTATCCGCTAAAATGTATGTGAATCTACAAACTTTAGTGTGCCTGCTCATATTTCTGCCTGACAGTAGATATCTGATTACACCAGTGTTCCTGAGGAGCTCAGCCAAAGAACTGAGGCATCCACTCACCGAGCTCCTTATACAGCCCCGTACTGATGCTAGCCAACAGCGCCAGGGTGATCAGGTCACCGAGGCTGGCTGCAATTGGGGTGGCCACATTGTCTGGGTTGATGCCAACCTTCCTGGATGCAATGATAACCCCAATCATGATAAGACCTGGGCGGAAGAAAAGAGGAAAGATTTGTCAAGTTAGCGATGAAATGGTGGAATTAACACAGGAGATTGTGTCAATCCCAAACAATGAAGACTAGACATTCTTCGTTTTTGATACCTCCTGTTTGGAGGATATATTTCCACTCTCGTGTTGAAATGAGACCTTGGAGCTGCTTTGTCGTTCCAGATTCAAAAACAAGCATTAGCTGCTACTCGCCTCAGCTAGTACTTTTCTTTTTAGGTTGTCATAACACTTTAAACTCTACATGCTTAATTCAACAGATAACTTTTTAAAAGTAACACAACAACACAATACATATCGCGAGTACACATTGTAGAAACTGGAGAAGCCACAATTCTCAATATAATATTGAACTGTTCGTTATGACATCCACGGTTCAATACGTGCTTGTGAATTAATTGTGTTTTTTTCCGGTTTGCCGTATTAATAATTTCTGTGCATTTTTTTCCTCTCCGAATTGGCTCTCATTCTAAACCTGTTGTCCAACAAAAGAGAACATAATAACATGCTTTTACTCCACAACGTCAGTCGAATCTGATCTGATGTGGCTTCTTGTCACCGAATGGGGCAGAAATATATTCTATACTTTAAAAAATGCAATGTTGATAAGCAATGGATTAAAAATATACTTAATTATTATAAAAATACCAGAGATGGCTTGAAAAACACAGATAAACCATATATTGTCACAGTCAAGTGTTTATTGTCTTCATGTTTCATCACTCTCTCTTCTTTTTATTCAGTCACAGCGATAGCGATGCTTTTGTCCATATAAAGGATTTCCTGGAGCGGTTGTGGCTAGAAGGGATACAGCTACGGCCGGAAGTGACGCAAGTCTTGCAAAATCTAGTTCGCTAGTTGTCTTCTTTTAAGAGATTTTGGTTCAAAGGTCTTTGCTACAACATAGACTCGCTAGCTGTCTTCTTTACTGTCCATTTAATTTATTGTTATTTTATTTTCTCTTTCACTTTCTTCCCATCCATCCGGTGAGATTTTGTGCCACTTCCGGCCGTAGCTATATCCCTTCTAGCCACAACCGCTCCAGGAAATCCTTAATATGGACAAAGGCAACGCTATCGCTGTTCTATTACTTCTGTGATGCATATGTGGAGTTTCTGTGCGAGGGCACCCTCTGGTGTCCAGTATGAATGAAACAAACATTACATGTGTTTATAGCGCTCAATAATGGCCAATTCATCCTACTTTGGGTAAAAATAGGAAAAATAATACTTATTTCAAAATAAAAAGTAGACACATAATAATCCAAGTCTTTCTCCAGCATACAGAAGTGTACAGGAGTTTGAAAAAAATTGAGGAATGTATTGAACCGTGGGCTAACTGTATTGTTGTATCCCTAGTAGAAATGTATATACACACACACACACACACACACACACACATATACAGTGCTGTGAACAGGTTTTTGCATATTTGTCACACTTAAAAGATTCAGATCATCAAACAATTTGTTTGATGATCTGAATCTTTTAAGTGTGACAAATATGCAAAAAAAAAAAAAAAAAAACAGGAAGGGGGCAAAAACATTTTCACAGCACTGTATATATATATACAAATATGCAAAAAATTATTTTGTATATCAAGTTTTTGCAGATCTTGTGCATCCATTGACGCATTGAAACATTTTGACATTTTGAAACATAATAAATAATTAAAACTGAGACGCATTTGCAACTAAAATAAGTTTTTTGTTGGTAATCTAAATACATACACAGCACATCATATTTTTGAAATGTGCTTTTTAAAATGGATTTAACACACTTCACTGAGATGCAATCTAAATGCAACTTAACTGCAATGTTGTGAATGTGTTTTATGCTTCCTAGGATATGACAACAAATGTAGTACTGTACAGTGTTGGTTTTTCGTAACTCAGAGGTACACTCCTGAAAAAATAAAGGTTCCAAAATGGGCGTTTTGCAGCGATGCCATAGAAGAGTCATTTTTGGTTCCCAAAGAACCTTTCTGTGAACAGTTCTGAAAATATTTTTTTTTTAGCATGAAGAACATCTAAAGAACCTTTTTCCACGGTTAAGAACCTTTTGTGTAAGATTTTGTGAAAGATTCTTTGTGGAACCATCAATGCCATTTAAGAACCTTTATTTTGAAGATTGTAGCTGTCTCAACCCTCTCACCTAGCAGCAAAGAAGCGATGAATGCGGTGGCCACACTGCTGGCACAGAGCAGGACGGCATGGCCCATCTTAAAATTACCCTCTGGAATCCAGCCAAAAATGACTGCAGCGATGGAAGCCAGGAAGCCGACTACTGTGGCCTGAACCTGAAATCAAGAGGGACACGATGAACTCAGACACCTAATTTAAACATCCTCCCACCTTCCTGAAGTTCAAAGTCTTCATGTCAAGTTCACTTTGTCCTCTTTAAAGTACACATGCCATTATTGGGTTTTGGGGTCATTTCCAAGAAACAGATCACCCAATCATTACATAATTGTTTAGTCAAGCATGCAATCTGGAAAAGTCAAACCTCACATGATATGTGACACTGTGGCTATGACTTTGTTTACACTGCGCACAAATCTGACAAATCTTTAGGACTGACTGCCCCTACTGTAAGAGATTAAATCTGATCTGTTTCTTCTGAAACTGCTGACTCATTAATTTATTCAATATTCACTGCACAGCCAATGTTATATCGTTCACTACATAAGGAAAGATTGTGAAAAATATGCATTTGAACAGCTTCAGTCAATACTACACACTGCATATGGCGCTCAGTGTTCTTATTGTTAAACTATTAACAATCATTTTCTGTAAATTTTTTTTTTTTTTTGGCTATTAGCTCTGAGGTCATCGATATGGTAGCATCCTTATAAAATTTGATGTAAAACACCATACAACAAATTATGAGCTACTGCAATGGAATACTAGCAAACTACCTACAGAAGACTTTACTGCAGGGTTGTTATAGTTAACTAACCCTAAAACTTCAACCATTTGAAAATATTCAAGTCAAGTCAAGTCTGCTTTATTGTCAATTCTTCCACATGTACAGCACAAACACACAGAGAATTGAAATTGCGTTACTCTCAGACCCTTGGTGCATACAGATAACATAAATACAGATAGGTACAGATTAAATACAAAATACAAAATACAACTATACAAATATACAAATAAGGTAAAATGTAAAAATATATCTATATATATAAAGCACAAGGCATATGTCAGATGCACAAGGCATAAAATATATTTTTGTTTGAAATAAAATAAACGGTAAATGAAATAATAAATAAAATAAAAACAAACTAATTATATTTCAGCTAGTTGCCAAAGCAACATTTGCCATTTTCATTTAGTTTTACTTGATGTACGAAAGAAACTTAAACGGAAATACACACACACAAACACACACAAGATGGGATCTGTAAAACTTTTGAATGGTTTTGAATGTCTCTTCTGTTCACCAAGGATGCATTTATTTGATCAAAACTACAGTAAAAATTGTGAAATATTATTACAATTTAAAATAACATTTTTTAATGTGAATATATTGTAAAATGCAATTTATTCCTGTGATCAATGTTGGAAACTTTTAATAACAATTTGTACAAATTTGATTTTTTTGATCAAATAAATGTATCTTTGTTGAGCAGAAGAGACACTGAAAAAGATTTTAAAAAATCTTACCACTTCCATATATATATATATATATATATATATATATATTGGAGGCAGGATGCCTTACATGCCGAAGTTGAACTCTCAGAGTTCAGGGTTTGCTAAAACCACGAACCGTATGCATTAGCACTAGTAATAAAACAGCCACTTAAAGCCTCAGTGCTTGATTCTGCATGTCTTCAAATCACTGTAGTCCATTCAGTGTTCACCATGCAGGAGGAAAAACAACAATTCTTTCTTTTTTCCTGCAATCTAATTTCTGTTCTGACTCGAACTACAATAACAGCAAATTAGCAACGCTACTATATTACAAATATCCTGTGCAACAGGATGAAGGAAAAAGCAGGCAGGAGAGGCCGTTAGTGGGGCAGTCGTTGCCTATGTTTAAGTGAAGTAAATGTATGTGTGTGTGTATGTGCGCACAGGGCCTCCATGAGAGAAAAGGAAGGAGCTTTTGAGTCGGTGCCAACTGCCTGCTGCTCGCTGAGGTGACCCCACTCTGGCGGTCACAGTGATTCTTCCGCACTGTGTCCTGCCTTGTGTAGCTCTCACACACACACGGCGTGAGGGGGAAACAGAGCTGGCTCGGCTACTTCCACCGGTCATGTAAGCTTAAAAAATGTATTCACCCAAAAATTAGAATACTGTCATTGTTTACTCACCCTCATGACTTAATTTCTTCCACTGAACACAAAATAATGGGACGAGAATATGACACAGAATATTAGTCAGTGAGTTGAACTTGAGAAACTTTTCACTATTTAAATGTTTTTTTTTTTTCTGGCAAAGTGTTTTTTTTTGTTTTGTTTTTTTTTTGCATATAGTTCAGTAAATAATATTTTTTTTTATATAAATAAATAAACGTCAGATTTTAATATACAAAATATACAAAATAAAAACATTTTACTTCAAAAATAAAATATTTTGCTTCAAGTACATTTATCTTGTTTGAAGGATTTTTAGATATCATTTACTGAAAAACAAGACAAAACGATTTTTGCAGTGTTACTATATAATTGTTTTTTGTCCGAAAGTTGTTGTTTTTTTTGCAGTGTAACTATTATTTGTTCACAAATGAGATATCATTAATAGGCTTTGCCAGAGGGAAAGAGGAATAGTGACATCAGCATTGGGGTAACACATTACAAGTAATGTGAGAGATACAAGTAATCAGATTACTTTCCCAAGTAACTAGTAAAGTAATGCATTACTTTTAAATTTACAATAAAATATCAGAGTTACTTTTTCAAATAAGTAACGCAAGTTACTTTGTTTTCCCATTTATTCACTGATGCCTCTCCTGCCCCCGTGTTGAGAGAAATTGGGAGTGAGGTGCAAGTCAAAGGCACTTCTTTGAGGCTTATCAATTTCCCTTTTGGTGTGAAAGGGTATTTACATTTGCCAAAAATATAACTTTTAGGTTTTTTGTTATCAAAAATAAATAAGTACGCCCAACTCAGGTGACAAAAAGTAATGGAAAAGTAGTGTTAGTGCTTTTGCATTTGTGTGTTGTTGTTTTTTAGCTCAACTGCAAAAAATTTGCCCAGCCTTTATAAAATAATACAAGACTGGAATGATATGTGGATACTATAAGTAAATGACATTTTTTTCATTTTTAGGTGAACTATTCCTTCAACAGGCTGTTGCTTACTGATAAGTGGGGGTCCGAGCAATGATGATAAGCTCTACGCAAATCGCTCTATGCAAAACTCAACGGTGGTCACACACACACCACACTTCTACAAACCGATAAACCGTGTGTTTCTGAAGCAGAGATGGGAGGAACCTCTGGCAGAGGCAGCGGCTGGAGCCACGTAGCTTTTAGTCTAGTTTTTAGTCCACAAACTCAGATAAAATTACGCATAGCACAAAGCCAGATTAGGTGCGTTGTGCTGTAGAAACAAGATACACGTTTATGTGACCATTAACATTCTGACAAACAAGTTGTCAAGCAAGCACAGGGTTTACAGGATGTAATACTTAATAGGATCAAGAGCTAACACCCTCTTAATATTACTGGAACACTGTATAGCAGGCAGTTAGTCACCTTCCAGGAATAGTGGAATCACGCAAGACAACAACACTATCATTTCATAATTAACTACATAATGTTAACATAGCTAGAATCAGAAACAAAATCAGATTACTCAACTTTATTTTTTGCATCCAATGTTTACATCTAATTTTACATCATATAAAGGTAAAGGTTCTTTCCAGCAAAGGAAATATTTGAATTAAATAAGCAGTAAAAAACAACAACACAATAATAAACAACTTAAGATCTTTCATTTAATAGGTAAAATGTACTATACAAAAACTTGGGTTTGATAAGAATTTTTAATATTTTTGAAAAAAGTATTTTCTGTTCAACAAGGCTGCATTTATTTGATCAAAAATACTATAATACAGTGATATTGTGACATATTGTTACAATTTAAAATGACTGTTTACTATTTGAATATATTTTATAATGTAATTTATTTCTGTGATGGCAAAAAGCTGAATTTTCAGCATAATTACCAAAGATCCTTCAGAAATCATTCTGAAATCAATGTTTTTCTGCTCAAGAAACCTTTCTAATTTGATCAACGATGAAAGCATCACTAATAATAATAAAGTGGTGCTGCTTAATATTTGTTGGAAGCTGTGATACATGTTTTAAGGATACAAAGTTCAAACGAACAGCATTTAACATTGAAAATGTCTTTACTGTCACTTTTGGTCAATTTAATAATGCATTCTTGCTGGAATAAAAAAATCTTATAGACCCCAAAATTTTCATGGCCTGTTTGTCCATGCTCACAAAATAAATGTTAGCAAATATCCACAATTACAATGTACAGTGTTTCTCTTTCCGGAAAATTGGCCAAAATATTGATGACAGTAAGGGGCGTTACATTTCCGACGAGTGCTTGGAGTGTTCGGCCAATCACAATGCACTGGGTCAGCTGGCCAATCAGAGCACACTGTGCTTGTCGGAGGGAGGGACTTTGTAGAAAATGAAGCGTTTGAGAGAGGCGGGGCATATAGGACCTACAATAATGTACAGT